ATCAAACGAAGTGATCATATTATCAACAAAGAGCTGGTACGCAAAACATTTAATGTAAAAAATTAATAAACAAGTAATTTTTAAGCAAAAACACAACCGACTTCAATTCTCATATAACAATTTAATAGTGCCGTTAATTGTTTCATGATCCAATGATCGGATCTAAACCAAATTAGTATGGGACCACCTGGAAATCGGTTGACGTGGTCCAAAGTTAAGCGGTATAAAAAAGTATATATTCCGACGAATTGATAACCTTCTCTTTTTTTTGAAGTCGGTTAAAAACTACTGAAACAAATAACAAAATGATACAAGAGTAACGAAAACAAAAAACTATCCCATGAAAGCTGTTTGAAAAATACTTAATGAAAACTTAAAATTGTTGACACCATTCCCTGGCATTATATATCAACTAACTTTTAACCGTAAACAATTTCGTTTGGGGTTGCCATAGCCTACTACGTGTATTGCGGGTAAAGAGATTTTGAACAACATGAGATAATATTATTATGATTACGATTATCATTACTATTTTGAACTCCTATTCCCGATCAAAGATTCCCAAATTAAAGCGAAAGCAGAAGGGCATTTACGATCGCATGATGCAAACGTTAAACTAATAAGAGCTGCTGAACTGAATCACGAAGGAACAATTTTTTACAAAGGCGTGTAATTTCTGGCGTGTGCCGATTACATCGGCAACATCGGAAACAAAAATCGCGAAGTCTGTTCTGCCTTTTCCAAGCTGGATAAGGAAGCAAAGCGAATGGGTCTGGTGGTAAACGAGGAGAAGACGAAGTAGTATCTCCTGTCATAAGATAAACAGTCAGCGCATTCGGACCTTGGCACCCACGTCACTATTGAAAGTTATAATTTCGAGAAATTGGAGAATTTCGTATACCAGGGAACCAGCATTATCACCGATAAATATATCAGAATGGAAATCCCACGCGGAATCCCTCTTGCCAACAAGTGCTACTTTAGACTGAGTAGGCAATTCGGGAGTAAAGTCTTCTCTCGACGGACAAAACCACACTCTATAAGGCACTCATCATGTCCGAGCTGTTATATGGCGCAGAAGCTTAGACAATGACAACATTCGATGAGGCGGCTCTTGGAGTATTCGAGAAAAAGATGTTGTGGAAGATTTACAGACCTCTACGCGTTGGCAACTGGAGTACCGTAGACGATGGAACGGTGAGTTGTATGATCTTTACAACGAAATGTACATAGTGCAGCGAATGAAAATACAGCGATTCCGCTGGCTTGGCCATGTCGTTCGAATAGGAACCGACGTTCCAGGTCTGAAAGTAGTCAACTCGCAATCCGCTGTTGGTAGCAGAGGAAGAGGGAGGCCCCACTCTAACGGAGAGACCAAGGGGAGAAGGACTTGGCTTCACATGGCATTTCCAATTGGCGTCAGTTGGCAGAGAGAAACAACTGGCGTGCTTTGTCGAACTCGGCCGAAATCGCTTATGCGGTTACAGCGCCAAATAAAAAGAAGCATATGATAAATTACGGAGTTGGTTGACCTTCTTGGATGCGCCAGGAGAAACTAGGAAAACAGTCCTTATCAAATTGATTCTAGCAACGGTTCAATCAAAAAATTACATAACCTTAGCTATCGCTTCATCGGAAATTGCTGCGACATTGCTACCAGGTGGAAGCATTGCTAATTCAGCTCCTGAGCTGCCATATAAATCATCGAAACTCCCGCGTGTGCGATATTTCCAGAAAATCCGGTATGGAAAAAGTATTACACAAATTTAAACTCATTATTTGGGATGAGTGCACCATGGCACATAAAGATCGCTTGAGGTTCTTGATCGATTGTTACGAAATTTGCGTGGAAACGTTCAACCATTCGGTAATGCATTGATATTGCTTGCAGGAGATTTTACGCAAACATTGTCTGTAGTTTCTTGATTTTATTAAGAAAATTAATTCCAGCAATCGCCACTGGCTCACTGAACGAGCTATTCTTGCTGCGAAGAACAAGGATGTCTATCAACTAAATAATAGTGGTATTGACAACAGTCGTTGCTTGAGCTGATCTGCTCTTTCACCAGACTGCCAGGCCTCTTGCTCACTTTGGTGAATACCACTAATGTTATTCAATCCAGCATTCAAAGTGTGGAAATAACATATACGTCGATAAACACCGCACTTAAGAATTTGGTGAAGAAAGTAGTGTAAGTAAAGATTTTAACTTGGCCTTTCATAGGTGTAGAATTCCCATGATTCCGACCGATACACCATTTCAATTTAAAAGATTGCAATTCCCAATTCGATTGACATTCGGAATCACAATGAATAATGCTCCAGGTCAAACTTCGGAAAAGTATGGTTTAGATTTAGAAGCTGATTGCTTCTCAGATGTTGTATGTTCCCATGTCGGCAAACCAGATATCCTTAATATCTATACAGAGAATGCAAAAACGACAAATATTGTGTGCACACAAGTACTCATTACAAAATCAAACTTATATGAAACGTATGCTTTGTTACGTTAATCACTTATCATCCATGTAACAGGTATATGCCACAGCAAAACGTGGCAGGGTACAGCTAGTTGTAATAGATTATTTAATTATTAATAGGGTTGTATTTTATAATTCTTTTATGCCATTACAGTGTCTGCATGTCGTTTTATTTTAATTTGGTCCTAAAATAAATTATATCCCGGGATCCCGAGGGCTTGTTCCCGGGATTTCGGGACTCAAAAAAAGGGCTCGGGACTCCCGGGGTCAGTTGCCACACAAAGGGGTAGGACCTACAGTCTTACGCCGACTCCGAACGGCGATTGTATTTTTATGAGAAGCTGTTTTTGATGGCAGAAATACACCCGGAGTTTTGCCATTGCCTGCCGAGAGGCGACCGCTGTTAAGAAAAAGCCGTTTTCGTTTTTCGCTGCGCGGAGTGGAAGCGCGCACTGCTTACCACTACACCACAGCGGCCGCCATGTGCCACACAGTAAACTTAGAGCGCTTTAAACGACAAAAAAAATTGGTATATATCATTAATTTTTCACGGGTCTTTTTGCGAAAATATGGTTCATATATATATGTACATCTAGCATTCTAAGTTGAAGTATGAAAGGTTGTGATAACTAACCCAACCCTTTTCTTTATGTTTCTTAAAATAAAATACTCGTACTCATAATAAAGAAGCATCATATTTGATTTGAGTACGAAATTCTTATTTCAAGAATGAAATATTTAGATTCCATATACTTAAATAGAGTAAGTTTGTTCTTATTTTTAGGCCGACATTTTTCCTTCACCCGCACCATTGAAAAAGCCTATGGGCCCATAGATCCTAAAGCCGGCGCTGCATGAGTACTTACGGTCAGAGATATGCCTAATTATAATTAAAACACAACGTTTATCAAATATTTTATAATTATTTTTAATTGAAATTTTGATACTTAGATTTCTACAGAAATCAAATTTAGACTAACTAAAAATTCTGAGCCAAAAAGGAACAATTTTGGTAAATCGACTTAAGCAAGTACCGAAATAAAGATGTATCGATGGCATCCAATTGAAATTCGAATTATAGGTTAAGATATTCTAGTAGATTTTTTGGAAGGTATATAAATTCATCTCAATTTAGTTTTGCCTGATGACGATAATTGAGCTTACGTTAGTGCTAGAGTTTACTCCAAAACTAAAAGGATCTATATAGTATTTATTTGCAAAAATTTTACTAAGGCACCTTTTCCTTTCCAGCACAGAACTATATTTCGCACACCGTCTTCAAAAGAGTCACAACTCAAAATAATACGTTCGTCAAAAAATGCGAAAAACTATTTCATAGCGCATGCTAATCATATGGGCAAGGGCGACTTTACCTTAGGTTTATTTAACAAATTATAACACAAATTTGCTCCAGCTTTTGCTGAAAGGTAAATAAACGCTCTGTGTACATTTTTAGCGCATAATTTCAAAAATGCCAAATTTTGAGTTGACTCTTTTGAAGACGGTGTGCGATTTGTTAGTTCATTAACAAAAAAAAACTTTATAGAATACGTTTGCACAGTTACAAAAAAAAACTTACGAAACTATCTATGGTGACAAGAAATAACATCCAAAGTCCGAAAAGGACTCATCAATTATATTATTACTTAGCTGAATAGTTGAATTATTGAATATGGAAGTACTAGAATAGTACATTCCTCGAATTGCTTTTAAAATTTGTGTTTAAAAAGATGGGGACTTTAGCTGTTATTCCTTCGCCACAAAAATATTGAAAATTATCACTCAGTTGGCAATAGTTTTCTTATTAATAAATCCAACAGGTTTAGGCGCTTGCCTACAAATTTGAACACGGTATTGTCTCTTAGGCTGGGTTGAGCAATAAAAGTGCGTTCAGCTAAAAAGCTAAAAATTAAAATATTTTCATTCTTTGTTGGATATTTGCTTATTATCTCATACATATGTATTTCTATAAACAAAGCGAAACATTCACACAAACGAGCATAATTAAATTACACATTTCGTTCGGAGAAATCGTTGGTAACACAAACAAAAGGTACGGTGCCGTCAATGTATGTATGTATGCCAACATTAATCACAACTATGCTAATCCAGACCCGCTTGAGAATTCCCTGATCTATTTTGACATCTACATATTTTTTTTTTGTTAACAAAATTTTAAACAATACGGGGTGTCGCATATGCACCCCTAAGTATATAACTTCTTATACATACATACTATATATATATTTGTAATCATAATAGAATTAGAAATAACAACAATCGATTTTTAAACTTCAAGTTCTGTTTCCTCAAGTAGGTTTGAAAACAAGGCGAATTTATATAAGGTGGTGTTACTAGCTCAGCTGATTTTGTGTATGTGTTTCGCCGCACGGCTTCTGATATCAAATTGAAAAATTTTGTTTGAATTTGAACAAACACTCTTACAGATTTTGACAGTTTATGCCGCCAAAGCAAAAACAAAATACATGCAAGTTTTTGTACTCCTGCCATCACCTTATATTAATTCGCCTTGTTTGAAAATTTATCTGCGCCTCAAACACGTTTTTTCAGAAGAAAATTTATGTTTAAAGGGCAAATAAATTTTAAAACCTACTTGAGAAAACGGCCCAAAAATTTGTTTGTACGCATGATTCCCTAAATAAATATGTATGTATGTACGCATGTACTTATGCATATTAAGGCACATTTTTAAGATATAGTATTGGCTAAATTTTCTTGGCACTTAATTAACTGGTGAGATGGTTTGGCCGAACTTTCTGGCACGTCCAGCGAAACCCTTGCTACCATCAGGTCCTATCGGCGTGCGTACTAAATTCTCCGAGTTCCTTTGTGCGAATGATCCCGATCGGGATCGGGGTGAGTTATCGAGAAAACTTCCTGTTCGCGAGCGTGGTTGTCCATCAAAGTCAACACCGTGTTTGTAGTTATTTAGGAAGCTACCGGTGCGCGAACGTGGCGAACCGTCATATTCGGAGCCAAATGAATAACGACGATCATAACCGGAATCGGTGGAAATACGCCGACCATTAATATACTGCGCGTTGTCATATGCAGCCAGTTTATTAGCAACGTTGAAGTTATTTGAGTACCGTCGAGGAAAGACGTTATAGCCACCCCCACCACCTCCAACATTGGGGTCATCGTATGGCGTTTCGGTTTGTGTATCCACTGATTGTTTGCGCTGCTCAAAATTATAGTCGTTAGACATACGCCTTGGAAAGTTATTGCTTCCGTTGGTGTTCAGATCGCTGGCATTAGAGAAGGTACGCTCGAATTGCATAGAACCGTTGGAGAAACGACGTTCACCGCCACTGCCAGTAGAACTTTGAGATATCTTGCGGTAAACTTCGGTTTGTCCAAAATCAGAAATACGCCTAGAGCACGGACAGTTATCGGAGCAGTTCGAGTCGCGTCTTTGCGACATGCTCTCCGAACAGTTCGATGGTCGACGTGAGTCAGAAAAACTAGAGTAATTGTCCGAACAGTTTGACAAACGTCTAACTAAGTTACTGTTAGAACCGTTGGCACTGGTTTTGTTGGCATTATTGCCGCTCATTTGTGATGCATTCACAGGCGCATCAATGACAGCAGCTGAACTGGCAGAGATGGTAGAATTGTTGCTATAGCGACGAGGTGAATAGGCATAAAAGTAACCACTACCAGCATTGTTATTGGTCATAGAAATGCCACCAGGGGACGCGTGATCGCTATTGATAGGCGCACGAGGCTGATATGGTTGGAATTGATGCGAGTTCTCACTGGCGAAGCTGCCACGATGCTGTGTGGCGTGCATACTTGGCTGCTGATGGTAATAGTGCGGTTGTCCGCTATAGTTGTTATGATGAAGCTCAGGCAGTGGCTTAGGATGAATGTCTGAATTGAAACGTTTTAGTTTATAACGTAAATCTGGTACGTCATGTGAAATCACTCCACTGAAACTTCCTCCTCGTGTACGCTCGTAGGTGGCGTCATTGTAGTAACGGTAATTTTCAACCATTCGCGCAACTGGTGTGGCTACCTGTATGATGGCTTTCTTACCAGTCTTTTTCTTGGGAGCCACCATTTCGAACACCTGAAATGGACCCTCCAGGTTTTTGGCTTCACGAGCAGACGAAGATTCTAAGTACTCGACAAGGGCGCACTCCTTATGTTGAACCTCAGGATATTTGTTCATGAATTGCCTAACATCCACTGGGATTGCCATGCCTGGTTTAAGTATACGTATCAATGCGATCTCGCCGCATTTGGAGAACATTTCTGAGACTTTCTCGATGGTAAGCTTATCGAGTGGCAAGTCGCAGGCGACAACGGTACGCGAAGGCATTGTTTCATCGAAATTAGGTAATGGATCGATGCGACGTACTTTTGTGCCCACATCGTTGAGTTCTATCTTTTTAGACTTGCGTCGCACAGCATCGCCAACAACTTTCCACTCCTTGGATAATTGTCTCACACGCTTAAAGCTCGACACCAACTTAAGACTGACGTAACCTTCTTTGTTGCGTCGCACATGCTTAAGCAGAAACGCATCTTTGAGTATACTCTCGTTTGAGAAGTAAAACTCAACAGCCTCGGCAATTTCGGCAGCCAACTCATCACTTGGTATCAATGCTGGGTCTAACGTATCGATTTCGTTAATACTAGATTGGTCGGATTTCATGTTAGTTTTGGCGATATGTTCTGTAGGAGAGGACACCGCAGTGTTTTCAATACCAGCGACAGTGCTCTTTTCACATTCACTTGCCTCAGGAAACGAAGGTTTCTTCATTGTCAAAAAAGAACGGTGCACGCGCTTGGGCTCTGTGGGTGAATTAGCTGGTGCCACAGCTGGCGGTGGTGATGCTTCTGGAATATCCTGTTTGAAGGTGTCAGGCTCTAATTTAAAGTTTGGGTGCAGATAAATATTATCCATTTGGCGGTAATAGTCACTTTGGTGGTTCGGTTGTGGGCTATGATGCCTATGGAATTTTTCTAAATTTGCTTCACTTAGAACAGCTGCAGCGGGTGCAGTAGGATTAGACTCAAAAGATCCGCTTTCACGCTCTATAGTTGATGGACTTAAGACAACATCGCGCAAAACATGATTATCGACAGCGAGTGGCTTCAATTCATCATCTTCTTCGGACTCTTCTGAATCCTCGATTGAGGAACCCATGCCAACATCAATTAACTTATCCTCATAACACTCAACGGGCGTGCTGCTAGACGGCGGTGCGGATGTTAGTGGAATCGGCGTATCGAAAACGTCAGAGCCGCGGTTCGCCTCGTATTCGATACCACCCACGGCACCTTCGTCGCTGCCGAACTGCGAGTCCAGAGACTGCGATTGCACAACCTGATGCAAAAGAGATTTAGTCGAACGCTTGGCATGAAAGCGCAGCAATTTGGATGGCAGCGAGGAAGAAATAGGAACTATCGCCTTCGACATATCCGTATTTTGCGATACTTTTAAACTCGTGCGAACAGGGGCTTCTGAAGTGGAACTACTGCAAGCCAAGACTTGGGCTGGAGTAACGGAGTTAATTTCACCCTGCTTCATCTTAGTACCACTTTCTTTCGAATCGCATATTTGATGCTCCGTTTTTGTAATTACCGTTGTTACGACAAATGTATGGCCACCAATTCCTTCACCAGCGCTAATTTGGCTTGTTCCACACACTTCTTGTTTATATCCGGCACTTACAGTCGGTTCCGCCATGGCTTTATTGACATCGGAAGCTTCGCTGTTTTCAAACTGACTGCAGGAGCTATCACTCATATTCTTCGCTTTCGGTTCAGATAGGCAAAAGGGTGCTGTTGTACTGTTCGATTAGATGTTGTGTATTTTATTACAATAATATGTGAGTATTTTTTTAGCTATATTTACTATGCATATGTGTGTACTCTTCATGTACTTATACGTCCTATCACAAATTTTTAAAATTTGCAGTTTAACACTAATGGTGGCTAGCTAGCTGTTCGCGTTCCTAATGGTTAGCAGACTCCTTATGTATCTGCGCGTAAAGCTTTGCACTCCACCAAGCGCCAATGGTATTAGAGTTCAAACTTCTTAAACGGTCTTATATCGATATTATCTCACGTTAATTTTTTTATCAGCTGCATGTTGCTAAGCTCATACTTTTCACAATTATTTTACTTTCGCTTTTATTGCCGCATATACTATTTATTCACTTTTATGGCGTTTTACATCAATATTGCAATTTTAACAGTGTCTTTTTGTTCATTTGTGTTAGTGTTCTTGAATTTCTGACAATACTTTGCACTAAACCTTATTAAAGTCTTGCATATTGTTATGAGGTGTGCAACTTAAGCGCCGTCTCGATTTGGCCAAATTAACGTGCCTTGAATGAAAAGTTTATTCATTTCTCTTTGCGTCGCTTACGAATCACCCACTTTGTCGATTTAATCTCAACACGACAACCGCTTTTCTAGGTCACACCATGGCGCGCACCCACTTGTTGCTGTTAGATAATCGATTCGCGATTACAGTACATGATATCAAGTGCAATATACTTCATTGAATATGGCACACCAGCGCGAGTGAGCAGTAGTTTTCAGTTTCGTTTGTTTACTTTTTATTTCTTGTTGTCGTGGTCTTTTGGTCTTACTGAATTTTTTTATTATTATTTTTTTTTATTGATCAGCTGGTTCGTCTTCAAAAGTGCCAGTCGCGAGTTACTGGCTTACTGGCGGTGTTATGGTCTACCACACCATTTATCGCAAGACTTCGGCCACCTCAAACTCACAAAGCGATGTGTATTCACCCACACACACGCCAAATTTCCGTAGTCCGTGAAAAAATTACGGTTATTCCAAATGTACTTGCACATATGACAATATTTATGTATTTATGTACGTATATGTTTTTATTTGTAAGTGGCTGTTTTTTTTTCTTTTTTTGAAAATTCAAGTTCAAACGTTTTAGGTGTGCTGATTATTTATTGCGCGAATTTCGCGAGTATTTTGTACCGTTCCGTTTTATTAGGTAAGTTCATGCAACGCTGCAACGCGAATTTAGACTGAAATTGCAAATTGATTTGGGGTCGGTTAAATACCCTCTGCTTTCAATTGCCCGGCGCTGCTGCGTAGCCGAGCTGCGTCGCTACAGTTGTTGCCACCGCTGCAGCTGCGGGAAGCACAGTCGTTTGTTTTGACTCGCCCGATACGCCAGCACATTTGTACCGTCCGCTAATGTCGCCAGTCGATCGAGTTGTCGGCCTCCATCGCCTTTTGCTTTCCCCACATCGCTGCCGCTGCTGACGTTGCCGCATGGTCGATGGGGATGTTTGGGACTTTTAAGCTATGTACTTATGTGTCTGCTTGTGTGTGTATCTGTACTTGTGTAAGTACTTCGTATGTGCATATGCGTGTATGTTTATTAGGGTGGTTCAAAAATGCGTGTGAAAAAGTAAAGTCGAAATTTGTATGCTCTCACCCCCTACCGAAAAAAGTACATATACCCTTATTTTTTATTTTGAAATCAAAAAAAAATTAGAGGTCGCTCAAAGCGCCCAAAGTTTTCCATGTATTTTATATGGGCAAAAACAACTTTTCGTAGAAATGGTATAGAATAGAGCTCTAGATACCCGGGTATCGAGCAATGCGAGTAGCTCGATACTCGCTCGAAACTCGTTCATTGCTCAACTGCTCAAATGTTTGTTCAAAATTTTCGAGTTTTTGAACAATTTCATAAACAAAAGAAAATTTGTAAATCGTATTTGTCAGCAGCTGCTTTCTATTTCATGTTAAATAAATTATGGCTGAATTTCTTTATTCATTCTGAACGTTTGGAATAAACTTTTTTGTTTACTTATTCTTTAGAACGTTCCTGATGATATGTTAACGTATATTTCAAAAGCATTCTGTTTATTCCGGCTGTGAAATGGGATTATCCGGAATGTATAAAGAAACGCAGCCTATATTATTAAATACCAATGTAACAATCTTTGCATTATATATCAATAATTTGAAAAATTTAAAAAGTTGCTACCAAAAATGTCAATATAATAAAAAAAACATTGCTCAAATTACTCGAAAAAACTCGAATTGCTGGAGCTCATGCTCGAAAATTGTCGAGTAATGAGCATTGAACAAGTGTGCGAGTACTCGCTCCCTGCAAAAATCGTCGGATCATGTAGTCTATTTGTGGTAAATTGGCGTACTTACAAAAGTGCTCCTCTGTCATGCTGTTGCGGACCAACTGGTGTCTCTGCGCTAGCTCATTGTTTGTTATCCGATCACTGCTCGTGTTTTAACGAAACGTGATTGAAGTTGAGCATTTGAAAGCACATTTGCATGTCTGGCTGCAGCTGAACGTGTAGAGATGCTCGCTGTTAGTTCTTAGCTCCCAGCATGCTCGGGTTCGAATACCGTCAGAGGCAACATATAATTTTTAATTTTTGTCTTGGTTTTTATTATTTTCGAAAAAGTATTTGAGAAGTGAAGAACAAAAGCGTGTACAAACGAAAAAATATAGCAACAATGCCATTGTTAATATGTTGGAGTAGTTTTGTGCTACTCTGATGTAATGCGGGGATGGAGTATATGGTCCTGCCCTAGGACATCGCAATGTTAATTGGACTATATTTTTTATATGAATTGTGGTTAATTTTGGAGTACTCCTTGGTCCTTAGGGAGTACTATTTACACGCATGCATGGAGTAGTCGCGATTTTTGCAGGGCTGCTCATATACCCGGGCTGTTTGAAAATGTGCGAACAAAATCGAGAGCTCTAGTATAGAATAGTTAAAAATCAGAATTTTTCTACCAGAAAACTCGGCTTATCTGCAGGAGATTCCCAATAATAAAACCCAATTGTTTATTTAACCATTTTTTCATCGGAACTATAATTTATAGGTCCTCCAAAAACCCCGAAAAATGCAATGGGACGACCAATAAAAAAGCGTTAGTATTAAAAAATGGTTAAATAATCAATTGGGTATTATTATTTAAGGTCTTCAGAAGAGAGCCAGAGTTTACCGATCGACAAAAAAATTGATTTTCAAGAATTCTATACCATTTCTACGAAAAATTTAATTTTTCCCATATAAAAATACATGGAAAACTTGGAGCGTTTTGAGCGACCTCTAAATATTCTTTGATTTCAAAATAAAAAAATAGGGGTATACTCTTTTTCGATATAGAACAATCCTAGGAGTTGAGAGCATTACCATTCCGACTTTACTGTTTTTGGACCACCCTAATGTACATACGTACATATATACCTGTATGATTGCATTATCTGTAACAGTTATACAGTGCGTTACAGTGAGAAACACACAGCGAAACATCAAACTTGTTATTAATGAAAACTCGAAAATGGCAATTCATTGAAATGATTGCTGTTTTTTTGCGTATGATATGCACATACATATCATGTGTTTGTGCATACGTACATATTTATGTGTGTATGAATATGTATACTCAATCGCATGCAGTGTTGCCGTTTTAGCCTTTTGGTGGCTAGATTTAGCTACCACATCCCTTTTTTGGACACGTAAATTTAAAATTGCCCCTAGCCCTTTTTTTAGCTCTTTGGAAAATTTATTCTTACTTGACATGAAAAAGTTGTATATGTATGCTTAATTTGATCTAATTTTTTTCATTTATGTATGAGATGAACTTTTAAACTAAGATAGACTCTAATATATGTATATATATGTATGTGTGTAAATGTATTGTACGCTCCTTAGGTTTTTATACAAACTATAAAAGTGTTAGGGCCGTTAACTTACATATTAAGGATTTAACTATACTTTAAAATAGATAAGTTTACAGCCCCAAATATGCTTAATGTGTTAAAGTTCCCATGGATGATACCATCATGCTGGCGCCTTCAAATGCTGGTGGCAGCCGATTGACCGTGTGTGTTCTTGTGGTGTATTTGTACTGGCTGCTGGTGCGACATCAAAAACGATTTAAAAATGGTATGATAATACCAGCATTCTGGTATCGCGAATGGTGAAATTAGCCCTTTTTTACCTCTCTTTTATTAGCTCGGGATGTAACTATGAAATATTGATGCGCCTAAAAGATGCAGCGATTTCTATTCTCATACCTGATGACAGTACGAATGCAAATTATAATAGAGGTTTTAGTTTTTTAATCTATAATTTTATTTAAGTATTTTACCGAAAACTTCTTGCACCATATGAGTCAAAGCCGTGTTTGTGGAAAAATTATGAGATTTCGGCTCTAATCATTTCGGTCGTTTTTGGACCTCATTTGTAAAGAAATAAATATTGTACCAGCAAGCTGGTATGTTATATGCTTCCAGCCTGATGCTACAATCACTTGATGGTAAACAACTTTAGCTACCATTTTTAGCCACAACGAATTTTTTTTAGCTCTTTTTAGCCCTTTTTTAAAAGGAATTTGGCTGCCACTAAAAATCATTCTCGGCAACACTGATCGCATGCCATCTTTTTGTTTATTTTTCGAATTACCTGTTCGTTTAATTTATTCGTGAGACTTAACGCACCTAAACGTTCTCGGTGCAAGGTGATCGCTCGCTACTTCCGACTCATGAGCGTTACTTGCATGCGCTGCGGCGCTGTTCTCGCGCTGGCTGCAGTGATCCCAACGATTGTTCGGTGGTTTGAAGCACGTGCACTTGTTCTTCCACACTCCGCTGAATGCGCGCGGGCCCAACGCTTTATCAGAACATTTTGCAATTACAAAAATAAAATAAATTGCTAATGTATTTACATACTTAAGTAAGTATGTGTGCATACGTGTATTAGAGTCGTAACGTAACATTAGGTAGTGATGTGCTGAGTCGATACTTTTAAGTATTGATCGATACTCGGTACCGATTTAAAACGTATCCAATACTTTCAATACTCGGTACCGAACTTTTGCAATTTCTAATAAGAGCACACAACAGCCAAAAA